AATCTTCCTGAGTTCAAATCTGGCCTTAGACACTTGCTAGCTCTGTGACCCTGGGTAAGTCACTTAATTCTGTTTCCCTCAGTTTCTTCCTCTGTAAAATGATCTGGAGAAGGAAATGACAAACCATTCTAGTACCTTTGCCAAGTAAACCCCAAAATGGGGTCACAGAGATTCAGACACAATTGAAAATGACTGAACACCTGGAATTGGAGTATCAGAAAATTTTGGAGTTAAATCACCCTATATCAGGAGTGGTTAATTTTCTTTTTTTTTCTTTTTTTCGTATCATGGACCCTTTTGGTAAGTCTATTGAAGCCTGTGGATGCCTTCTTACAATAATGTTTGTTAAATGCATAAAATAAATAAAATTACAAAGAAAACCAAAGACTAGTGCAAATACAGATACTTTTTTTCTCCCTTTCAAATTCACAGGTTCCCTGAAATCTATCTACAGACCTTTGGAAGGTCTTTGGACCCCAGGTTAAAAACCCCTGAGCTAGATAATTCCTTTATTCTAGACAAGCAAAATGATATCTGGAAAGGTCACACAGTGGCAGAGACACTGATATCTCTATCAACATGTCTCTATTTTATACCCCCAAGTTCTCCCATTAAGAGGCACACGTTTTTGCATTCTGGCATATTTAATTAATTATACATTAGAGAGATTCCAGTAGAAGACTTCCCCTTCCAAACCATTCCTCTGCTCATTTTGTGGGCCTCCCTCAAATTCTGGGATGCTATTTGAAAGCAGAACCATGTTCTTAACTTTTCTTCTTTATTCCGTAAAATCTCTTCTTTCCTTCTTTCCCAGGAAGGATAGTTCCACTGAGATAGCTACCCTCCATTTAGGAATCTATGCAGAATCCTATCTCGGAGGTTAGGGACAGCTCCCCTTCCCTGAGCACTGAAACTGTACATAGTTTTCATTGTCCCAAACACCTACAAGCAAGCATCATTTACACTCAAATAAATAAAACCGGTTTAGAAAACATTTCTACACCCATGGAAGATTAGAGCCTTTCATCTGAGGGCTTAAAGGACTAGAGAATATAATAACATCATTGTCATTTTAGAAGTTTCTACGGTGAGGTTTTCAATGCTTCATGAGCCTTTCTTGTGTATTCTCATGCTATTACCAGAAGACAGTAATTATAGGCAATATTTTACACATGGGAAAACCTAGGTAAGGAGAAGTTAAATGATTTGAGACAGTTCACTTGCTTAAGAGAATCAATGACAAGTGACAGGTGAGAACAGACTGTCTTCCCCCTAATCATTAGCTCAGCATTTATCTGATCGTCTAGAGATCTACATAGTTCAGTTCTGATTTAGAATGTGTACCAACCCAGATAGGCTAGGTATGAAAATTAGTATCTTGGATCCAGTAATACGAAAATGCTGCTGTTAATATTTCTATAGATAACTACACTTTCGAATTGTGGTGCTGAATCCCTTTTGAGAATCCCTGGGACAGCAAGGAGATCAAATCAGTTAATGGTTAAAGAAATTAATTCCAGTTTCATTGGAAAGACAGATACTGAAGCTTAGATATTTTGGTCACGTAATGAGAAGGCAGGGCTCTTTGGAGAAGACCCTGATGTTGGGAAAGGTTGAAGGCAAAAGGAGAAGGGGACCGCAGAGGATGAGATGGGTAGATCATCATGGAAGCAATAAACATGAGCTGGGACAGACTTTAGGAGATAGCGGAGGATAGAAGGGCCTGGTGTGCTATGGTCCATGGGTCACAAAGCGTCAGACATGACTGAACAACTAAACAACAAACAGACAACAACAATAGTAATAGCTAGCCTTTATGCAGCACCTGCTATGTGCCAGGCACCTTATGAGCACTCACTTAATTCTCATGACAACCCTGGGAGGTAGGCACTATTATTTTGCCCATTTTACAGTTGAGGAAACTGAGGCAAATAATAGTAAAGTGATTTGCCTAAGGTCATACAGCTAGTAAGCATCTGTGGCTGGATTTGAACTCAAGTCTTCCTGACTCCAGGCCAAGACCTCTATCAATACACCGCCTAAGTGAATTGTAGATGTAACTTCTGCTTTGGGATTCTCTCCCCAAGTTCTACTCACCTTCACTGAGTTTGGGAGCCCAGAAGACAGCTACCACCTCAGGTTGGAGTCAACCCTCTTAACACTATAGCTCATGAGCCCCTCTGGTGGGCTTCTTGTGACCAGTCAGCCCATAGCCTTCATTAGCCCTTAGCAAAGCCATTTATTAAGATGATGTAGGAAGAAAAGAGTAGCTACAAAGTGTCCTCTCCTCCCCAAAAAAAATCCTAGGTTCACTCTTCCAAATATAGTGTCAATGAAAAGAGTGGGCACAAACAGAGTACAGGAGCCCATGTGCCAAGGTAATTCACAACTATGGAAATATAGGACCTGGAAATTCTGTCACTCCTCATGAGGCCCTCTTTGTGACTCATCAGACAAAGTGACAGGGCAAACTCTCAATTAAGTCTCTCAGTGGATCCATTCTCTGCTCCTAGCAGTATGGCGGAGGAAGTTTGTTTCCCCATCTCTGTATCCATATCTGCAAGAGGATGTGTCCCTCTGCCCCCTCAAGTGAGTCTCAGACTGATTCTCTAGATGCTGGATGGAGTATCTCCTTCTAGTCAAGCAAATCCCCTGATGGATGCCATGGAGGAATGGGTAGAGGGGTCAGGGAGGAAGAGGAAAGAGAGAGATTCTATCCTTCTCTCCTTCAAGGAATCCATTCCATAACTTCTCTGAGCTTTGACTGCCTCCTCTCAATTGTTGGATGGCCTATTTTAGTTTTTGGGTTTTTTTTAAAATATTTATAGTATATAGATCCAAAAGGCATGGCTAATTGTCTCAGGTGATCAGGAGAGGTCCCCTGTGTGGTGTCATTTGCCTTCATCCAATGGCAAAGGCCCTGTAACCCAGAGGTGTCAAAAATAGGTCTTATGGCCTGTAACACTTTCCCATCCACTCTTCAGGGTGGTCTGAACCAGAGTAAAGTATAATTGGGAAATATTAAACAAAATAAATAAAAATATAATAAAACATAAATAATGTTAATATGTGGTTTTCTAAGTCAATATTCAATCATCTAAGTGGTACAGTGGATAGGGCAGCGGGGCCTGTTGAGTCTAAATCCAGCATCAGACATTTACAAGCTGTGTGACCCTGGGCAAGTCACTTAACCCTTTTTGCCTCAGTTTCCTCCTCTGTAAAATGAGCTGGAGAAGAAAATGCCAAACCCCCTCTAGCATCTCTATCAAGAAAATTCCAAATAGGATCATGAAGAGTCAGATGCAACTGAAAAAAAGACAGAAAAATAACAAGAAGTCGATGAGCAGTGAAGTGATCCTTATGCATGGTCAGTGGCCCCCCTTTCTATCTGACTTTGATACTACTGCTGTAATCCTGTCAAGCTAATTAAGGAAAGTGTTCTCGCCTTGGTGGAAGAGCAGGGGAAGGGTTGGAGAAAAACTCCTCACCATCTCCACTCTTTATTCCCATCTTGTCAAGGAACAAAGACGTTAGATATAGAAAGGACCTTAGAGATAGACTTGAGCAGCTCCCTCATTTTGCAGATAAGAAAACTTACCCTAGATGCTAAGTAGCTTGTACAAGGTCATATGCCTAAGAGAAGAGGTGAGATTCACACAGACCCTCTGACCCCAAATCCAAAGCTCTTTCCACCTTACCACCCATTTATAAGGACAATCTGCACAATATGATTTTGCAAGTATGCCTTAAAAAAAGCATCTCATAATAGATATAATTTGAAAGCCTTTTTTGGGTTGATATGCATATTTCTCTCCCTCTTTCTTAGCACCAAGATGAAATCTAACTTCAGTCCCACCCAATCATTCCATATGGGGAGCTAGCACGGTGTTTAGTTTATTCACTGGCCCTATATTGTTGGATCAGCTTGCCTTTGGTACAACTCAAAATGTTCATTGTTCCTTCCTGTAAACAGCATCAGACATTGACCTTTGCTTTCAGGTGACTGAGGCTCTTCCCCTTAGACTCAAGCCTGCTTCCTATGCATCACCACATAGGTTCTATTTACTCAGGATCCAGAACCCAGATTAGTTTCATTCCATCCCTGAAAATACCTGTGTTGTCCAGTCTGATGATCATAAATAAGTAAATAAATAAATAAGTGTGTGTGTGTGTGTATGTATATGTGTGTACGTTTTCGTATACATATATATGTACATATATATATATACATATATATATATACACACACACACATACACACACACACACACAATATATATATATAAATAAATCACAGCAGCAAGGGGGCTGCTGTGGCTTGGGTGTTATTCTCTTTCAACTTGCAAAATCCTTGCTCTCTCCTGCCTCTAATATTACTGCCCTTTTAAAAATTTTGTTTGTTTCGTTCTGAACTTAAGAAATAAAACAAGCATTTCCATAATATAGTAGAATAGAAAAAAGATTATACATACAATTGCAAATCTATTATGTATAACTTGCTATTCCTTTTAAATACATAATAAAGTTGTCGCTTAACTTCCTTTTTTTTCCCTTTTTTTTCTTCCTTCCCTCCCTCCCCTCCACCCTAGAGATGGCTACCACTATCCCTCTTCATCTGTCTTCAAGTGCAATAAATCCTGGGCTACACAATGGGCAGATGAAACTAGGACAAAATGTCATTGTACTGTCAGGCTCTCGTGACTGCCTTGTGCGTGTTTTTTCTAGTGTTATGAGCCAGCAAAAGTCACAGTTCTGAATCAGCCTTTATGATTGCAAAATAATTCAACCCCTGGCAAAGCTTTACAGAGCGTCCTAGTAATAGGCAAGTATTACATTGCTGTGAACAAAACCGTCAAGAGTATGAAGTACATGTGTACATCAAAGCAACCTTCGCCTCGGGGGCAGTGGGGGGCCTGACCTAGACCAGACGTAGGACACAAGTACAAGAAAGAAGCAATTCCAGGAAGAGCAGTGCATTGGATTGGCATGTGCCCCATGGAATTTGCATGGGAATGAAGTTCAGTGGCCAGCCCACGGAGCAAGCACGGACTTGGGCCTGCGTTCTAGCTACTTCCAACAGCGCACGTGCTCTGGCCTCTTGCTGGAAGGGATGCATTACTACTGCAGGAAGTATTTCCCAACCCCTTGTGATTCCAGTGCCTCCTCTCCCTTCTCCTATTTATCCTGCATAGAGCTCCTTTACTCTATTTATTGATTCGCTCGCGGCCTCCCCTATCAGATTGCAAGATCCTTCAGAGGAGGGACTGTTTTTGCCTCTTTTTGTATCCCCCAGTGCCTGGCACATGGTAGGTGCTTTATAAATGCTTATTGACTAGCTGACTGACTGGTTGCTATCTTGGCCCCTGTGACAGGAAGCAGAAAAGGAGGGGCCGTGAATGGATTGAAGTTTTCTTAACGACATAGCTCAGGGTGAGGGGAGGGAGAGCTGACAGGAAGAGAGTGGGAAAAGGGAACTTGGGAGGTAAATTGGGGGACAGTGTAGCTCACTAGATAGAGTACTTGCCGGGGAGTAAGCTATAAGGCTAGAAAGGCAGGGAGTGACTAGATCATGAAGGACTTTTTAAAAGCCAAACAGAGGAGTGTGTATTTGATCCTGAAGGTAATTGGAAGCCACTGGGTTTATTGAATATGGTCAGATTTACCCTTTAGGAAGATCATTTTGATAGCTTGAGTGGAGAATGGAGAAGAGCAGGGAGAGACCCAAAAGGTGATGAAGACATTGGACATGATGGAGTGAGAGAGACTCAAGGATGACACCTAGGGGACCAGCTGTCAATGCTCCAGACACCTCCTCTGCTTTGTGTTTCTTTACCTGAGCATCAGTGATTCCACAGTGATCCTGAGAAATAGGTATTTCCAGCCTTAGCAGCCATATCATCAGAGGCCTGAAGTCATGGAGAGCTTTGGGTGCTGGCAGGAGGGAGTGCTGCTGGTATTTTCACCTCTTCTCAGAAAAAAAAAAAAAGACCATTAACTGGAAGATGAGTCCATGCGTGCCTAGTTGGCCAGAAAATGTGGACCTTGAGTGAATTGCTCAGATGGGGCCTATCTAAAGTGAAGGCGAAACACCTGTTCAGTAGTCCCACAAAGTGGTCTGTGTTCCCCTTTAAGCACCAACCTCCCAGGAGAACGTAATAGGACTGATGGATTACTGTACTGTTTCAGGTTTGAAGCATTTGTCAATCCACTTGTGAGGTGCTTGTGTTTTAAACCTTTCTTGTGTGGCAGAGGAAATGAATAGCTGCCCTATATCAGACCTACGTTGTACATTGAATAACTTTCTAGAAGGGACCCTGTTAATATTTTTTGAGGAGACCCTAGATGTGAGCCAAACCTAAGCTTTATTCAAAAGATTTTCTCTGGAATTCCCAGGGTGGGACAAAATGAACCATAGAGTTACAGCAGAGCTTGATTCCCTTGCTTTGGGGGGTCAAGCTCCCCCCGGGACATGAATCCAGGCTGCTTCTTATCCTGGAATTATTGGGATGGGTATCCATATGCTGAATCAAGAAACAGAAACTCTCTATTGAAAGCAAAAGTCATAGGCTTCAATGACTTTTCTTAACCGGCTCCTCTCAACTATTACAACTATACCACACCTCACCACACCACACACACACACACACATCAGTAACAAAGACATTTTGTCATTCTTTATAAACATCAGGTATGTGCCAAAAATTCCTATATCTGTGGTCATCACAGTTACCGTGATATAAAGTTGCCAACATAGTTGGTGACACTTTTTTTAAAATGTCCACCTGGTTTAGACTATCCCTCCAATGAACAGAGAATCATCCACTGACTTTTACTGCCAGAAAGCATTAAAACAGTATGCCTTAATAGAAAAGAATCCTAGACATGGAATCAAGAGAGCCCTGGAAACACTCAAATCCTGCCTTTGGCACTAGTCAAATGGACAAGACACTTAATCTCCCAAACCTCAGTCTCCCCAACTGTAAAATGAGGATAATAATACCTTTGTTAACCCAGCTCATTGGGTTGTTTTGAGGGTCAAATGAAATAAGTATGTAAACTGCTCTATAATTCTCAACTATTATTAAGGCAAAGGATATTTGCCCTAAATTACGTTTCTAATACTGGGCAAATTATTTTTTTGTTTTCATTGCCCCTTCTGATTTTCATAGTTGGCCAAGTAAGATTTCATTGAAGGAAGTAACAAATTCATGAAGGTCTAATATTCCAGAATCTCAAAGGGTCTGTGGTCTTCTTGAGGTAGATATCACCTCCAGTGATGGAGAATGCCACCTGGACTATCCCTGCTTACTTGTGTAACTCTCATTCTGCTCTTCTCTAAATTTGAGAATGCAGGAGACAGGAAAAGTCCATCAAACATACTAGGGAAATTCCTCAAGTTCTCTTGACCTTGTGTGGATAACCAGTAGAGTAGGTGGATTTTGCCTTAGTCTTTCTTCCTTCTAAATAACCAGGGTGCCCATCTTTTTGTTTTTCCAGCCGTACATTCCTTTGATGAGACCCTTTATGCTGCTGTTCCTGCATGATTCTTTGCCTGCAAAGAACTTCAGATTACTCACACCTTCCTGGCACCTCTCTGTACCCTTTGGATGATCCTCCCCTCCAATTCCCTGGCAAATTGTACGTCTAAATATTTAAGAAGTATAAAAATAAAACATTCTTGACTAAGGGAGTCAGGAAGTATGGCAATTATCAGGATAAATGTAGTGAGGTAGAAGGTGATTATGTTGGCAAGGAGGGTCTGTTTATGTTTTGGAGACATAAATTACTTTTGAAACTGTGCTTAAATTCATCTTTGTCATTCATTCAATCTCATTCACAATCTTCAGTGCTCGATAAATGTGTGATTATATTAAACATCTGCTACATAACATCCACTAGCCCACAGCTCAAAAACTCTGTAGCAGCCTAGACATCCATCCCCCAAACCAAGCATCAGTTAGAAACTAATATCCACTATGGAGCCCAACAGGAAACTCATACTTATTCTCCTTCTCCTCCCCAGCTTAATCTCCAGCAAATAGCAGTTGCCTGTGACAAGCTTGTATTTTGTCTTCATGAGCCCAGATGATTCCTGATGAATTTGGCATCAGGGAAAAACAAATGAAAGAGAATGCCAGGAAAGAGACCTGGCTCCCAAATTCTCCTTGGGAATATGGGCAACACACAACATGTCATTGAACAAACAGTGAGCACATTCAAGAAGGCGTGAAGCTAGATTTGTACGGGGAACCTCAAAACACAAGACGTTTTCATTCCGAGCAGTGCCATCGCAGTCCTGCAGCTGAGACATTTGGAAAGCAAATCAGAGACAAGAATTCATTTACAAGGCCAGTTAAACAGTGTATCAATTCTTCAGCAGTAAATTAAAATATAAAGTATTGAGCAATCCTGCCTACAGCCAACATTCCACACACCAAACATCTGGCAAACAACGCTAAAGAGGAAATAGATGGAGTCCAATTATCCCTGTGGAAGCCAGGGGTTACTTCATGTTTCAAGGTAGGAGAAGAAGGAAAGAGAAAAGTCTAAAACACAGCAAAGCATTTTAACAAAACTCTTACAGTTCTGAAGCTTAAAAAATAACTAAAAATGGACAACAGCAACTTCTCCTTTTCCCCTCAGTCTCGTTCTGCAGATGTTTGACCAAACTGGAAAATGATTGTGTTGGCTTCAACTAATGGTAGCACATGCAAATGTCACTATACAATACTAAGACAAGAAACAGGATTTAGCAGTTTGTTTCAAGACTAAAATCTTTAACAATGAAGGTCTTCTAATAAGTGTTATGTATTGCCATTTGTAATCTGGATATGATTTCAACCTGAAATGACATCTGATAAAATGATTGCCTGTTGGATGGCTCAAAGACAGAGTCAGCCTTCTGGAATTGTACTAGACTGTAGTATGTATGATTTTGATCCAGGATCTGGTCTATATTTTCCCAAAGGTATAAATTGCCTTTTAAAAACATAACACATTCCAAGTATCCTCATGTTTTTTATAGAGAATTCAGACCACCAATAATCCTTTTGTAGAAGCAGGAAACACCTCCAAGATTTAAAGGCATGTTTCTCAGGATGCTCTGTAAGGCCCAACATTGGTGAAACAGGTGAGGAAAATATGGTACACTGAATTTGGATGTCAAAATTCAATGGAGATTAGGACATTGTTGTCCTGGAATATAGACATCCTAAAATCCAGCATCATTTTGTCGTGAGAAGGATGGAATAACTGGTCAATTCCCAAAGGACTAGTCATATCTTTGACCAAACTGTAGCAGAGCCATGATAAACTTCCATTGGCCATTGCTAATTCCTTCTTTCATAATGTCCTCTTTTGCGATAGTGCAATTGTCACATTCTATCATGTGAATATGGGCTGCTGACAAATCAAAAGAAATGGGTTAATCCACTTTCATTTATTCTCTGTAAATTTTGTTGCTTAAAAATGACTATTGCAGAAACAAGTTTTTCCATTTGGAGGAAGTAGAACAGGCTAGATGTTCCCGAATGAACTGGTGGCATGAAGTGCACTTAACAGCAGGCCTTCTCAGAAGCCTCTGAAGCAAGATTTTCCCATCTGAAGTTTTGGTCAGTCATGAAGTTCAAGACAACACCAAATGTGCTCAGCTGAGGCCAAGCCTTAGATATATGTGTACCATGACTTTTACTACCACCCTGAAATGGAGGGGCTTTTAGAGGGGTAGGTAAAATAAGAAATAAGAGGGTAAGAGGAGAAGATCAGGTAACAGGGATAGGGTAAAAAGAGAGGCTGAGTAGGAAAATAGTGAGTAAAAATAAGATGGAGGGAAATTCACAAATACTGATTATAACTTTGAATGTGAATGGATGAACTCATCCATGAAATGGGAAAACAGATAGCAGAATGGATTAAAAACAAGAATCCAATATGTTGGTTACAGGAAACACATTTAAGAATGAGAGATACAAACAGTTAAAATGGAGGGTAGGAGTAGCTCTTTCTCATTTAAAATAGAAGGGTAGGGTTCCTGTGATTATACTAGTCCACTTAAAAGTTAGATAAGAATATTTCTTGTTGAATCAATCAATGAGGGCCAAGGGTACCCTTTTTGTACACTCCCTTAAATCAATCAAAGTCAGTGATGAGAGACTTTGTCACACATACACATCCTTATATATGATTAAAGAATTATGTCAGAACCAAGTAGAAATTCTGAAGGCCTAGAAGTCGTCGTTGTTTGTCCTTTGTTCTGAAAGAGGACCATGACTTCAGGAAGATGACGCCATTGACTTGCAAGTGAATTGGATTTAAGTGAGGGAGAGCTGTAAAAGGTCACCAGCCTCACTTTCTCCTCCAGAGTCATCTGGGATGATGATCAGGATGGCTGGAGATGGCCTCACAGAGTCTAGAAGTGGAGAGGAAGGGGTAGAGTCATATAAAGCTAAGCTGGAAAGAACCAAAAACCCAGGGGCAACCAACAAAAGGGAAAAAAGAGAACTGTGTCAGAAAAGAGAGATATCCAGGAGGGCCACCAGAGCAGAAGACTCAGGCTGATGCCACTGGATACACTCACCTGCTCAAGAACTGAAGGAAGCTCCAGGAAAAAGATCTGCTCTTTCCTCATCTTCCCCTCCTAGTGCTGTCTATCCAGTGACACTGTATTATAACCCAATGCTTCATTACCCCAAACATTTCTGGCAACCTCCATCTTGCCTCAACCACAAAGAGTCATAGACTAGAGATAGATGTGAAAGAAAATTAAGGCAGAGAGCCAAATTCTGGCTAAATGTTAAGAATACCCTATTTTGAGACAGTCAGAGTAATCGTACTTACAACTTTTCAAATAAAATCAACTCTGTAAAGCCATAAAAGAGAGAATTGCAGGACTTTCAGAGCTATCAGATTACCCCACACTTAAAACAAGATGATTGTAATAACAGGGAATTACAAAGGCAAAGAAGAGATAGCTTTTACTTTAGTGTCTGAAGGATAGGCTATTCCATTGGCATGAATGCTCCCTCTACACCTGCAAATGATGACCCCTTCGTGCCTCAGTTGACTGTCTTTACTGAGAAAAAAAAAAAGCAACACCCACTGGCCAATGTTATGGGATGAAATAAAAGAATGGACCAATATGCATTTATTAAGCACTTATTCCATGCCACGCATTGTGTTAAGTGACAGTGACATAAATACACCAGGTAAGACAATCTCTGCCTTCATGGAGTTCACATTCTTTTACCATTGGGAAAGATAGCACAGATAGGAGACGGGTGGCTAGGGAGGAGTGTTTTGGAGATGAAAATCAGAGGGAATGCTGGTTGGAGTCATAGGGTAATTGCTCAACAGAATCTATCAGAGAATTTCTAAATAAATTGTAGCACATTAATAAAATGAAATGTTACTGCACCGTAAGTAACAATGAAGATGAAGATTTCAGAGAGGCATGGGAAGATCTATTACTGAATATAGAGTGAAGTGGGCAGAACAAGGAAGATAATATGAATAAAGAATCTTATTGGGAACTCATGGGGAGTGACTGAAAAGTTATGATATTTAAGATCTACTGAAATTAATTGAAGTGCAAAAAGTTACTAAGTAAGTTTAGTTGGTTACATCGATAATCTGATTTTGTGTTTTTGTAATATTGTTTTTTAATAAAACATTTAACTTTTTTTTTTGCCTTTTTGATGAGGCAGTTGGGGTTAAGTGACTTGCCCAGGATCACACAGCTAGTGTCATATATCTGAGGCCAGATTTGAATTCAGGTCCTCCTGACTCCAAGGCTGGAGCTCTATCTACTGCGCCATCTAGCTGCTGCAACATTTAATTTTTTTTAGAGTTCAAAATATTCTGCAATTTACATTAACATTTTGGAAGTTCTAAACTCCAAGACAGGCTTGACTCCAACGAGCAACGAGGTGGAACGCCCCGAAAAAAAACTAGGAGTAGGAGGAAACCTCAAGACATTGCACAATGAAAAGCTGGAGAAGGAAGTGGAGAAGATTCACCTTAAGTAAGAACTCTCTGAAACAGTTTGGTGGCTTTCGTGTTGCTAATTAAGTTCATGAGCAGTCTAGATATCTTAGAAACACAATGGAGATTTCCCATTAACCAACCTATTTATACAATCTATCACAGCATCGGTCATTAAGATAGCATTTGTTTGCCATCAGATTGGAGATGTTCCTGACCTAGATGCCAGACAGACTGAGTCACTTCTGCAAACTATGGAGTTTCCAAGTTGAAACACAAATATAAAATGTGAATGCGTGGTTTGGGGTGGACGTTTAAATAATCTGGCTCTGGGGAATGGTACACACAACAGACGTGGAACGAAAAAAGAATCCAGCAAAATTTCTATGGTGACCACCTAACTAAGGAGCAAAAAAAAAAAACCCTAAAAACCCAGCTCATGACTCTGTGTAAGTCTGCTGTGCTTTGATTGTGAAGGACATGAAGGAATAACTATCTGGAAGAGGTCTTTAAGCCATTTATTCTGTTTGCCTCTTAGATATTTGGAGCAGGTAATCTTGTCCTAACTTGTCAGAATATGGCAACAATCTGCCATCTCAAAACTATTTTTTTCCCCTCAAAGAACTCTAACACACATAAGAAGGCTTCAGTTTTCTAATTGTGCACCGGCTGAAAATGGGAAATTGATTACAAATTAGCAAAGATGACAAGGTATGAGCTTTCTCTTGCTGTCCTGAGAATGATATATTATACTATATGTTTTAAAACTGCCCTGTTTATCATTTAGTGTTCCCCCACTAAAAATATCAGACCAATCACATTAACGTGTCGGGTAAAACTTCAGCATTTATACAATCACAAATTCCTAGGACTGCAAGAGACTTGGAAGGTCATCTGGTCCACTCTTCTGTCTCCACATTTTAGCTCTCTCTCCTTTTTTGTCAAATAATCATATGTGTGTGTGTGTGTGTGTGTGTACATACACATGTGTATATGCAGATATGTGTATACATACATACACACACACACACACACATATATATGTATATATATATATATATATTCCTGCCCCTTAAAATGCAAACTATTTGAGGATCATAATCAATTTTTGTTTTGTCTTTGTAAGTCCCATAACCTAGTATAGTGCCTTGCACATAGTATGCATTTAATACATACCTGTTTGTTTCATTGAATTGATTAAGCATGCATTAAGATACATTAATGTATTTTAGAAATATGGGCTTAGATTCTATATAATGTATATATATTTGCACTTGACGTAACTACAGAGGCAGCATGGTGCAAAGGAATCAAAAAGTCCAGTTAAATTTCCAATTCTGACAAATACTTAGAATGACTGTTGAAGTCGCTTAATCTTTCAGTGTCCCAGGAAAATTTCTAAGACTGTAAATTGCAAAGCAGTTGCTGATATGCATTAATAGAGGGAGTTTCCTCACAAAATCATAGGTTTATACAAAACAAAACAAAAAAAGATCACAGAACCACCCTGGTGTCTAAACATGTGAACTTAAGCATATAAGGCATGCACTGCAAATTGGGAAGAATATATGCCTTGTATTTCAGCTCTTTAGAGATTGATTGATGAGTCAGTTCTCTTTCCTCCCTTCCTCCCTCTCCGCCTTTGTCTCTCTCTTTGTGTCTCTGTCTCTTTGCCTCTTTTTTCTTTCTCTCTCCTTCCTTCTTTCTCTTTGTCTCTCTATTTGTCTCTGTCTGTCTGTCTCTACCTCTTTGTCTTTCTGTCTGTCTCTCCTCTCTCCTCCATATCTCTCTCTCTCTCTCTCTC